GTTTTCTTACTTACAAACTTTCTGTTCACCAAGAGAGAAACAATTTCCAGATTTTTAATCTACCGGAATAGCTTTTTGTGGGAACCATTAAGACAGATGTGTTATTAATTATAAAAGACCAATACATGTTCAGATATTGAATCCCCATCATCTTTATTCTTTTAGCTTGCAAAGTTTTTAACCAAGAATGTGATAGTTAATATTATCAATTTGATATACCGTATTCTGTTTTTCTAAATGTCACAATGCTCGTCTAAGTGCTACCTATGTCAATCAGTATAGTGAAGAATTTTATTGATTTTTCATAATGTTTTGCCAGATCTTCCAACTGTCCATTCCTATTTACCTTTACTATTTTTTCAATTGCTATCATCAATAATAAATCCAGTTAATAAACTTTCAAATAAAGTACCTTTATTCTTCCTCCTGGACTGTATAGTTTTCTGGAACAGCTGCATTATACCGTCCCTTGGCAGCAATTGCTTGCTCATTCAATTTATATTTTGCCACATGTAATTAAGGATTAGTTTTCACCTGTTATCTCATGGATGCATGTCCATTTCAAAGCAAGAGGGCTTATCATGGGAAGACTGAAAGCACTCTGCAATATATATAATTATTTGTTCAATCATTTCATTGTATGAATGCTATGCTACACGTGCATTTTTAAGATGAAGAGTACTTAAAATGACATTTTAGAACAATTCCCTTGTTCATCTTCATGCATTCACCATTAAGATGATAGGTATCTACCTCTTTGTCCTACTTCGCCTCTTGTCTATTAAGTGCTTTTTTAAATAAGCTAATGGTGTCTCCCATCAAGTGGATTATACCTTCTTGATCAATTTACCAACAAAATTTTGACTTGTGATATTATTACAGAAATCTATGCAACACTGAGTGCCTAAAGCTCTTTAAAAGATTCCGATTGTCCCCACCACTGTAATGGAATTATCTTTCTTCTCTTCAGATCTGTAGTATAAATAAACTTTGATAATTAATTTTTTACACATATTCAAAATCTTTTCACAAAAGCTTTAATTTCTATAACCACCTCTTTTTTACATAATTTCCTTTTTTTCTGTATTTCTTTTTCAGTGCTCCCATTGTATAGCACTCCTTTTCTCAAAATAATGTTAAAATAAATGCAAGAAAGAATCCAATTTCTTCCTAAACCACTTCCATTTCCTTGCAAAATTGTATATACCATTTATGCATGATAGTTGTACTCATTTTTATGTGAATACATCCAAGTGGGTTGAATAAATAAATGTTTGAATAGAGATTACAACAACTCAATTTTATTTAAGACGTAAAGTACTTTTACCGGGATGTCCATATAACATTTTTTTCTAAATTCTCAAAATGAAATAAATCAGAAGCATCACCATGATAATATACAGGTTGAGAATTCAACTGAATAAAATTTTAAAATGAAATATAAGATTTGTGTACTCAGCATGTACTGATATTTTGCATTAGGCTTTTATTTTAATTAGTTATATTTCAGCAGCAGCTATTCTCCAGAACTTTCAAAATTGAGTCCCTGTTTTTTTTAAAAAAAAGTTTTGGTATACTGTATACTCATTTGTTCAGTATTACTTATCAGGATGATCATTTGTACTTCATATTCATTTTGATCTACTACATTGATCTACTAGCTTCATTTGTGATCTACTAGCCAATTTCCTCCTTTCTATATGCTTCCATTTAAGCCTGAATCAGCCAAATTTAAGATTTCATTCCAAGAATTTTAGTATCTACTTTCCCCCCTCATTATTCAGCACTAAGTACAATAGAGATTATCCACTTAT